AGTTACTGTTATAGTGAAATTAATGTTTTACTGATTGATAACAATTTGATTAAACAAAAAGTTTTATTTTTTTAAATACAGTTCTGGAATACAATAGTAGTAGTAGTAGTAGTAGTAGTAGTAGTAGTAGTAGTAGTAGTAGTAGTAGTAGTAATTTAATTATATTATAATAATATTATAACTAAAACCATTTAGGCCATCATAAGCCAGATACAACTAAAGAAAGAAACAAGTATAGATAATAGATATTGCAATAGTCGCAAATGAAAAGAACATTAAGAAGGAACTAGAAAAAAATAAGGCAATAATAAAATCTTCAATAGAGATCAAGCAATTGTGGAAAAATGGCATAGTACTGCTCATAAAGTTGATACACAGTTCGATACTAAAAGATCTGGAACAACATTTGGGCCCAATAATCTTATCAATAATCTTATCAAGTAAAAAAAAATCCATTATTTGGAAAAGTTCATATACTGTATTACAATGATATCTTAAACTATCTTAGATTCTTGGGAATGACTCAATAGCCCAAACTATCAAATCCAATCAACATTACTTGGAAAACTATGTAAACACATTTAAACAACATTTAAGGGTTTTTTTTGCAGCCTGCATTTTCTTTTCTTTTTTTTAATTGGAATTCATTTGCTCCCCTTTTACCATTTGTTAGTATTATTCAGCAGCTAAAATATTAGCTTCATCTGGCAAAAAAGTAAAATTGAAAATTAGTAGCAATTATGTTTGTTTTACAGATAAGGTGTTAATAAAAAAAAAGTTTCTGAATAAACCAAGCCTACAGGAAAGCTTTGCATGTAACCAAACTGCATTGGAAAAAAATGAGGAGGCCTATTACATGCACTTGCCATTTCTCTCGTTTTCACCACACCAGTTTTCAGATACTGGAAAGGAAAAGTTTGAGAATTCCCATGTGCTTAACACTGAGAAGCAAGCAGCCTGATATCACAACATGTATTATATATTTTACTTTTTATTATTCTGTAAGCCACTCACTCTGTAACAATGAGATGGGAGGCATATAAATTTAACAAGTAAAATAACTAGACAAGAATTCATTTAGTTTAGCAAGCCTCTAGTTCTTAAGAAAGATCACTGAGAAGAGCTTGATTCCTTGTAACTTCCATAGGTCTGGCCATGTGGTTTTCATTGAAACAAGTGGTTAGACATTGTTTTCTTCCAAAACTTCCCACCTAGTTTATCCTTTTGTAATCTCCCAGGTGCTAACCATATTCCTTGGCATTTTTAAGATCAGCTATGGTTGGCTGGGTATTTACATAACTCTCAATCTCTTATTCCTTAAGATGTTCCATCTCTCTTTCCTCCACACACACACCCAGTTTCTCAAAGAGCTGAGGGACCACTGCATCTAGAGGTTAGTACATCGAGTTTGTTATAGGGACTCATGCCTTCCCACATATCAGCCTCAAGAGGGGAGCTCACGTGGACAACCAATTGTAACTTGTGAAAGAATCAGAAAGGCTTTTTATCTCTTTAGGCACCTTTCCATGCTATCTGAACTGCCCTGCCTCTACCATCCGGATTGGGGGAGGGCTCTCTTTCTCAACAGAGGAAAAGAAAGGGAGCCATCCAAACACCGCCCCCCACTCCATCATTTGCTCTCTTGCATTCCCTCCTCCCTCTCCTTACACCCAAGGACCTAGAGCTGTCATCTGCAACTTTCAGCTTAGGAGAAAGAGAGGCACATGGCCGTAGAGTATAGTTAACATTGCATCTTGAGCGCACATCTAAGAAAGAAAAGGATTTAAGCTGCACAACCAGAGAGCATTAAGAAGCCCAATTATTATCTAGAGTAATTACTGTACATCTTCTAACAATACAAAGTTCCCTGCAGCAATTTTAATTCCTGGATTCAGTAGATTGAGCCATACTGATGGCCAGTAATTTCTTCCCTCCTCCTGTAATAATTATGCGTGCTTTAACTTCTTCCACATAGTCGCATTGCATTGATTCACATTTTACTCTCTCTTAAATCATAACCCCAACAATTCCAGGAATAAAGGGGAATTTGTTTTATTATTTGGCGAGAAGCAATGGAATATAATAGAAAAGTATAGGATATATTTTAAAGGAAAGATAATGAATTGAGGATATTGTGACTTGAAAATGCCTCTTGAAATAAGATAGGGGGGAAATGTAGTTGATGCTGGGGGCCTTCGGCTCCATCAGTTGCTGCTACTCCCATCAGTTGATTTTCTGAAGATAATTTGTAGAGAGGCCTCATTTGGGCTGCGAGATCCTGGTTTTACCCAATTTCACAAGAATCATGTGACATTACAACCTTCTTAGATGCTCTGGGATAAACAGTCTACACAAGATTGCCGTGTAAATGCACAGGAAATTCATATAAAGTGTGAAAAATAATTCAGTAACATTTGGGAATCTACAATAACATTGAGAACATACGAGTGACAGTAGCCAACATCAAAAGATGCTGTAACTTAGCCAGAAAGCACACTTGCCTGAAGATGGCTGCTCTAGATATTTGCCTGACATGTGGCCCCACACACGTAGCTTATGGAAATGGCTGCTCTTTTCTGATTATTTTGGAAAGGTTCAGCATTGATGGTTTGAGCCAATGAAGGCCTGGATGAAGTTAAACGAAGATGAAATCCAGACAAGACTGAGATGCTCTTTGACAGATGCCTGATCATCTCATCCCGATTCCCTTGTATGGGAACCCTTTTCTGAGATGAAAGCAACCATAAGTGGCAGTGGAAAATGCCATTTATACATTAAGCTTATACTACATACACAGAACTCTAAATCCAGTAAACAAAAGGGATGCTGGCTGCATAGCATGCGGTGTCTAAAAAAACTTGTTGTTTAACTTGAAGCCTCACCCATCCAACATACAATAGCACTGATGAGTTTTCCCAGAATTTCCAAAACTATGGAAGTGCTTGTCCCAATTTTACCTATGTCTTGGGTAGATGAATCCAACAACTGGACACCACAATAAAGTACCCAGAGATAAAATGCTGCTAATAAGCCAAGCTGAGAACATATTTATGGAATGAACCTCATGTTATTAATGTTTATTCTATTTTTTCACTCACAAAGATGGTGTGTGTGTGTGTGTGTATTGGTTTTGCAAAATAAACCTATGTTTGGTATACAGTTGCTTTATAAAATCATGTTATACATGAAGAACCATCCTAGACCAGATATGACTGTTGAGAAATCTGGATTTAGTTAGCACAGCTATGAATTTGCATATACCAGCTATATTATTGTTGAATGTCTATAGCATTGATTTTAATTCTACCCACTACTGAAACCAGTTAGAAATCACTACTGGAGAAATACAGTAATTGCAAAATACTGGGACAAAGTAAGAACTATCTGCAGCATTTGCTTCTAAAACTTCTACAAATTTTCAGTCCATCTTTAGGACCTTAGAAATACAATCTTATTCTGAATTGCCTCCTCTTTGGCATTGTTATCCAATCCATACTCAATGTTCTTGTACATTGTTAAGTGATTTATTATTCCCCCACTATCTTGTTTTATTTTTGTACTTGTTTTAGTATTTTACGATCGGTTACGTGATTTTAATTGTTGCTGTGCGGTATGCTGCCTAATATCACATTGTGTGTTTAGTAATTAAATAAAACCAATCAATCAAGCTACACTTAAAATCATTGTGCCTGAAAATGTTATCTTCTTGTATATATCTACTACGGTAAGCTTTTTGAACAATATTTTAATATCATTTTGGAAGGGGAATCTGAGTATCAGTTTTTGTATTTATTACATTTATTCAAATGTACATGGTTCACATTAATTTCTCATAGCACCAGATTATCATCTGCCTCATGACAATTACTGAGATGGAATTTGAACTCATATCCATCTAACATTCTTTTATAACTATTTAACTATTATAGTTGCATTATTTTGATCTCAGTTTGTTGACAATTATCTGGTCAGGGATTCCAGCTGGGTAAGAGGTATTAAATAATCGGCGATCAGAAGTAATTTATGATTTCTTTATCTTGTACTGTGAATACATGAATTGGTGGTAGATAATGAGTACTGGGATTACAAAGTCAACAAATGGAGTTAAAGGGATTATCAGGCATCACAGAATATGTTGACTAAAAATGTGATCTAGAAAACCAATTTAGATTGTTGAAAAAATCTTTTTTCTAATTACACTTTATCTCAGAAGCAGGAATTCATCTGAAAGGAAATTATATTTCAAAATTTGAGTCAGGTAACTAAATGATTCAACAATATCAAACTGGAAAAAATATTTTTTTTATCAGCTAATCATTATTTTACTAGACCATTTTGCATAAAAATGGATGACAAACAGAATTGGGTAGTTTGATTTCAATGTGTTGTCAGATCCCAATAATTGATTCTATAGGTTGTGTGAATAGGCCATCATTAAGCCATAAAACGGTTTATTCATTTGTAGTGACATGATAGAGAAGCATAGGAACTGTTCTTTAATTGTGCTGTATTTCCTTTTTTCTTCAAAAATAGTGAACTCTTGTGATTGGTGCTCAACAATTTTTTCTTGGGCATTAACTTTAATACCCAGTTTGCTCAGTTGTTTTTAACTGTACCAATAATGTAACCTGGGTATATTCTAAAGGTAACACAGATTTTGTTATAAAATATGTATGGTGTATGCCTGCTCTGTACAATAATGCACATGCACTCATAAATATGATCAGACACACTTTTACACAACTTTATGGTGCTGAATGAAGACTGGTTTAAATTTTCTTGAGCACAAAAGAAAAAAACCCAAACAAAACGACAGTACTGAGAGTTCAAAGAAATATTACTGGATTCATGAAACTGACAATTAAGTGCTTGAACTGTTTGCTTAGCTGCCCAGTAAACACCTTAAATGCAGGACTCCTGAGTCTGATGGCCCCTATAATCATCTGGAACCATGTAATAATTCTTCCATAAAATTCAAATCTATGTGACTTCCAATAACATGCAAGAAAAAGAGCTATTTTTTATTTGTAGAAACTTATATTACAAACACACAACTCTACAAAGGAGCTTTTTGGAGCCAAGCTATTATTTCTCCTGCAATATGCAGTTTGTGTTCTCCCCAATTCTGACAATGGGGTCTATAATGCAGAACAGTGCCAATACCAGTAATTTTCCCCTGAGTTTCCTAAATGAGGCTTCACCTTGATTCTAGATGTAAAAAGATGAATATAGTTCCCGTCAGATGAGAAGGAGCAATCACCAAGTAGGGGGGCCAAAGCGGGAAATCAGCAATTCTTGATCATCAAGATCCTTCTGAACCTTTTTCCGCATGTAAAAGATGGGACAGTCACGACTGAAGGAAAAAAGGAAAAAAATCCAGAAATTACAGCAATGAAGAACTGGCATTTTTTATAAGAGTGGCAAATTTTTTATCAGTGTCATCCAGAAATTTAGGGGGTGGAGGGGGAAAGAGCGAGGGACAAAAGGTAATTCCCCTGCAGGAAAGAATAGAACCTTTATGTTTTGGCTTGTCTCTATATTGACAAATTAACTTTCTCCTTTTACTAAGAACATCCAGAATTCTTATTCAGCACAGGAAAAAAAGCTTGGCTAGGAATTCTGGAGTTAAGTCTCAACACCTATGAAGGGCTGACTGTCCTCAGCAATCAATTGTGGGACCAGTCTACTTGGTCTCCAGAGAATTTGGGTGGGACACGTCTATTAAATCTGCAGGTAGCAGTGTGTCAGTACTTAAATTATCACAATTTTGCCAAATTTCAATCACATGGGAATCATGGATTCTGGATTTTGGTGCACTCTATAAGATAGCCCTTTTGAGGTAGCTTAATTCAGAAATCATTGCTATAGAATGCACTGTTTCAACCAGTTAAAGATAACTGACAAGTTGAAACGATGAGACATGTAGCCGTCAAATCAGAATTTTTGTAATATATAAAGGACCTCTAAAGAACTTTTGTTTATTTGAGTTATATTTATTGATATTTACCATATTTACCAAATTAAAATTTATGTTTTAATTGTTTATTGAATCATGTAAAAATAACAGCATTCAAACCATTAGATATTAACCCAGATATTTTTCATTTTAAAATCTATTTATTTTTAACAAATAAAAAATAATAAGAGTGGCATTGTTAAATTTCTGCAAACATCCTCAAGATCTGGCAAATAATCTTGATTTTGCAGACCCCAAGGGAGATCTTTGGAGATTCCCAGACAGAAGTACTAGTCGATAACATCATTTCAGACAGAATCTAGAAGATTCTGGTTCTAAAATAACTCTCCATAGAAATGTTCCTTACAAATTATAACTGTAAAAAAAACAAAAAAACAGCGAGGACTGAGTTTAGCATAGAGTAGATTCAAACAGAATAATTTATGGTATAGTATATTGTGGGAAAATCTGACATTAGATGCTTTGTGACCAAGGCCATTACGTTAAATCATATAGTTTATTTGCTAGAATGTTACTGGCTAGCTTGAACACAGTAATGATTTAATTAACTCCATTTAGGACATCATGCACAATTTGAATCTAACCCAATGAGAAAATTAATGCCACTTTTGTGGGGGTGTGGGAGAATATGGTGCTTGTTATCTATCTACACATAATAATGTGTTATTTTTAATGTAAAGGAAAATTTAAATGATTACTCTGTATTGTAGCCAGAAGCCCAACTATCCCATCAAGATTCTATCCCCTAAGTTCTTAAATTCTAGCAGCCAGGCTTTGCTTGTCCCAATGTCCCATGTTAAATGTACCTCTCTTGCACTCTTCTCTAAATCCAGACACCCAGCTAACACATGCTGATTATCACAACATGAGGCTCTATCTTTTCCCTCCCAATCCCTTTGCCAGCTGGCAGGTGCTATATTTATAATGCAATAAATGGCTTCAGGTATACCCCCGCCCCCTACCTCTCCGTGGGAGCCATCTGTTTGCTGATCCCTAACCAGCTTGATAAGCAGTTGTAAACACTTGGGGGGGTGGCATAAAGCCATATTTTATCCCAATGTCCCGTGGGAACATACAAGAGCTTGTGCTGCCATAAGAGGGTGCGGTGGGTGATCAGTCCTCACCTGGTACACAGTACATCTTCATGTAAGCTCCCTTGGCAACGCTGACATTGTGTCCATAAACGAGAGAACTTTTCTTCCAAACAGCTTAGATGGGTCACCTATGGGGAGAAAGAAAGATGAGGGAGGAAGAACCACAAGACAGAGCAGCAAGATGTTCTCCCTTGGATGTGACCCAGCATTTAATAGGCATTGCAAAGTCTCAAACTACTGTGAACATATTATGCTGTTGGGAACCTCAAAGTAGATTTGTAAGGCAGTACATTACTACATCCATGTTGCAATAAGGACTCCAGAAAAAAATCCAGTTCACACTCCTGCTAAGCCATAAGGTTGACCTGTACTTTCCACCATTTACAAATCTGGCCGTAATAGCCTATTCAACAAATACACTTGAAAAAATTAGGTCATAGCATATTGTGAATTTTAAAAAGAGAGAGGAGGGAAATCCCATAGATATGGGGAAGAATATGCCAAAGGAAACAACTATCTTTTTAAAGACAGGAATCAACCATGTTTTTCGAATTATAAAACGCACTCCCCCCCCCCCCCCCCCCCCCCCCGCCCAAAAAAGTGGGTGGAAATGTCTGTGCGTCTTATAGAGCAAATTGCTGCAAGGAAGCAAATTGCTGGGAGGCAAAGGCAACTTTTTTTCTTGTTTTCCTTCTGTAAAGCTAATGTGAGTCTTATAGTCCAGAGTGTCTTATAGTACGAAAAATATGGTATTTACAATAATTTTATAGTCACAATGGGCCTTAGGGAACACTGTTCTTATCCCTGTGAAATGGCAAACAATGTGAATTTTGACTTTTTCCCCAATTAAGGTTGTGATAGTCAAGATAGTTTAATTTAAAGAGTAGCACTTGATTCAAAAAGGGAGCCAGAGGTTCACACCTGAAATAGGACAGGACTGCTTATATTAGGGATTTTCTGATTTCTGAGTTCAGGCTTTTAGTCCTTATGCTATTACCAGAATATTCTGCTTTCAAATTGCTACCAGTTCCCAAATGGTTAATCTTAAGCTAATTCCTCCCACCACCTCCCAGTGAAATCAAGTATTTGTGATTTGCAAACTCAACATTTATTTCATCTGACATTTCTCATTTTTCAGGGAAACAGGCCTATCAGTCCTTAGTAGTGGATTATAAACCAGCTAAAGCTGCCTGATCATGAATTCATTTACCTCCTTCTGGTAAAGTTCAGATTGATGAGCCAGGCAAAACTTGCACACAGCACCTGTTGAAGAGCAAAATATTTTTTTTAAAAAACGTATCCACCCACCCTATTCTGCCATATGGAGTAATATTCTCAAATCCATTCTGATGGGGAGGGGGAACCAGGAAAGCAGAGAAACAACAAGCTACATTTTATTTGCAACAATGGACTGGATGAATTGTATTTGGCACCTAAATGATCTCTGCCTCTGGGAAAGAATTTACAGAAAGTCCTATTATCTCAGAATATTTCAGTGTAATTTTGGCCTTGGCTGAAGAGTTGTTTAAGCCACTTGCTTCACTAATCTCAAGTTATTCATTCTTTCAGTTTGTTGTTGTTATGCACCTGCCTTTTGATTAACTGCGGTCTAGTTTGCCAGATAACGGGACCACAAAAAAAAACCACTACTGAAAACTTTTGAGATATTCCCCTTTGAAGTGTTTAAGAAATCTTCTTTAAACTTCCCCAGATAATTCAACTAACATATTCCCAGGTTTTCTCTCTACTGAATGCAAAATGTACAGGTCACCAGAAATTGTTCTCATAACCCCCAGAACCACCCTATCACAAACAGATAGGCTCAAAAAAATTCAGTTCTTTGCATTGCTTTTGGATTTTGTAAAGTTTAAGAGTGTAGCATAGATACACTAAGTCTTGCATAAATGTAAAACACCAGTTTCATTTGAAATTTGTTCCCAAAATAAGTCCCGAGACTCCTTCCATTTTTGGGCTGCATCCTTAACACATGATGTGCAAAGCTTGCTGCAGCCCTTCAACCAACGGAAATTGCACATGTCTGTGTTAAACCATATTCCAGAAATCAATCTCCTCCCAAAGAAGCCAGGAATCCTGGTAATAGGCTTTGCTGCCTATTAGCTTCATATTCATCCAAGGCAAATGCGTTCATCTATTTTCCTACAATATGCACCTGAGCGTTCATCTATTTTCCTACAATATGCACTTTTCTCCCTCCTATATATTCCGAGAAGACCAAAGAGAGAGAGAAAGTACTGGGGCAACAGCAGACATCACAAACTGTGAAGTGGTGTTGATCTATTGCAAGAGTTTTCCTGCTGGTAACAGAGGCGCAGCTTCTGTACTCTGTGGCAAGTTCCGGCAATAGGAACTTGCAACATGCACTGTTGGTTAGACGTGAGGGATGGGGGAAGGGAAAAAAATTAATGGACTCTGAGAAGACATGTGGGCAGAGGCAGGATCTCACCGTGGTGGTTGAGCACAGCCCGGCAACCAATGCAGGTGCTTCGTTTAGTCGCAAAAGCCATCAGTCCTCCAACTTTGGCTGTCAATACTGTTTTGCAGCGAGTGTGTTCTCCCTCTGCAAGGGGAAGATATGAAGGATCATACATACCACAGCCCGGGTTTTTATGCACATTAGGGAAAACACTGTTGATTTCACCTGCTCAGTCAGTCATGTTTTTATTTATTTATCAAGAAAATGTATATGGCCATCCAACCCACTCTCAGTGACTCTGGGCAGCTTAAGCAAAATAAAGCCCCAGTACAAAAAATATTCTTGCTGTTGTGAAAAAAGCAAGAGAGCAAATTTGGTCTATTGATTAAGACAGCAGACTAGAAAGCACGAGACATGAGTTCTAATCCTGCCTTGGACACAAAAGCTGGCTGGCAGCTTTTGTGTCTCCCTCAGTTCAGTTCAGCTCAGTGGGTTATGATTGTGGTGAAAATACGATGAAGGAGTATTAAGTATGTACACAGCCTTGAGTTGTTTATAATGAAGGTGGGGTATAAATAAATACATGAATCCAAATTTCACCTGCCCAATTAGTCAATCTCGTAGATAGTCTCCTTCAAATAAAGTTTGATTCCCAATGACAAGCCTATATAGTTTTCTTGAGAGCAATCTGAGATGCTTTTGATTTTCAGGCTTCCCAATCTGAAGCCCTCAATTAGCTTCCAAAGCTAACCAATAATAGGCAGGTGCTCCCAAAGGCCATTTAGTATATCTCTGCTCCTTCTCGTTCAGTATCCCAGCTGCCTTCCCATGGCTCAACTGAAAAACAGGCAGTCTGAGCTTAGCAGTCTTAATTGTCATTTAAAGTCCACAGCGAAGGTCTCTACCAAGCTTTTACTAAGTCAAAACCAAGGTCCTATTTTGATTTTTTTGTTGAAGGTCAAAGATCACACTCACTCAGTAAAACATTCTGAGCTTTGCCCTCTCCCAAGATAGGCTCAAAGATACGCAAGAGGGGCTTAGCTAGTTGTTGCTCAAGATAGTACTGGGTGTCAATGGGCAAGTTGTTCTCCAGCACATAGATGGGATCCTAAAATAAGAAAGAAAGACATAAGCAAGAAGCATTGCTAGGGTCCAAGGAGTAGAACTAGATTGCCAGGGACCCTAATGACCAAGCTACTTTATCCCTTTACTGAAGGCTGAAAGCCACTTAACAGGCTACTGGGCCAGGTGCACATGCATTCTGATAATAGTAGGGAAGAAATATTTACTCCTTGGATGTACAAAATATTGACCATCACAATAGCAAGCTTTATTGGCCTTGTCTTCCATGTATAACTCCTCATTGCATATCATCATCATCCTTCTTCCATACTTACTTCAGATTTCATGTATGCTGCAACACCCTTGGCTGCACTGATAATAACATAAGGAACTCGATCTCCCAAGTTGGGAGCACTGCCAGGATCTCGCCGACGCATCCTAAAGGGAAAGGAGGGCTGCATAGATCAAAGTGAAGGATTGCATAAAGGATGGAGGCAGACTGGAACTGTATGATCTCAGAAGAAGGTTAAGAAGACTGCAAATCAAGCCTGAGTAGAGTCAGGATGGACTGAGGAAGTGGGAAGCAGAATAAGCAGCTCTGGAGAATTAAAAGTTCAGACATGGGAGATGGAAAGGTTTGACACATGACCCAAGTGGAGTATTTTCTTCGAGCAGAGAGATATCAGAGAAGAAATCAAAAGCGTTGAAGGGATGGAGACTGGCACAGAAAATATACAGCAGAAAGTATAATTAGTGTTAGGTCTCCTCCACAAATGTGGCTGCAACAGAGCACTTTCACCTTCTAAACTTTTGTTTATCGAGAGGCAGTGGAGCAGCCAAAAGGCCCCTGTCACCTCCCAGGTGTCTCTGGGTGGCGGATGACATGGCTTCAGCCAAGACAGGAAGCCCAGAGCCAAGAGGTGGGTGTCGCAGAAGTTCCACTTGCAGCTGCACTCACCACGGCTATTTCTGCCTTTCCCCTCAGTCATGCCTGGCTGGCCACCCCACGCCCACACACCTTTTTCCGCTGCCCTGAGGACAGACAGGGTGGGTATCACTTAGGGTAGCAAGGCTGTGGGGAGAGAGATGAGGCAGTGCCAAACCTTCAATGCTGCATGACAGTTTCCTTATCAAATCCCAAGAGAGGGGCCAGACATAGTTGAGAGAGCATGTGCTTTGTATATGCAAAAGGTGCCAGGTTCAATCCTTGGCATACTGCAGGATTAGGAAAAGTCCTTGGAAATTTGTTTCTAGGTAGATTAGACTAGGAGAGGACTAGTGGACTGGATCAATAGAAGGTTGTTTAACAGATTTATTCAACCGCCTCCAAGTCTGGATACCGAGTATCTTCAAGTTAGAGGACTCTTGCTATATTCTTAAACAAGAAAAAGTGAATTAAAGCATTCTCTCTCGCTTTCAGCTCACCTCTCGGCCAATTCCACATGAGCCTGGCGCCCTGCATATTCATCTGCAGTGCGTGTTAATTCCTTGGTGATCACCAACTGTGAAATGTCAACTCTGTTGCACAACAGATCAGAAATCACTTCCTTGGCATGGGTGACAGCCCCAGAAGGGTCCCTGAAAAGTATAGCACATGTGACGATTAGGAATGTCCTCTTGAATAGGACACAAATTCTGAGTTTTAGAAACTAGAGACAGGCTGGAGTTGGAGTGGGGATAAAAAGTCTTGTACCAAAGTGGCAATGTGTCATTTTAGGACCTAATGTAGTCTACTTCTCAGAATGATATAATGAACTGGGGAAACCCCACTTCAAATTGTTCCACTCAACTGCAAAATCCATTGTATGATTTGGGTCAGTTATTCTCCCACAGCCCATCCTACCACAGAGAGCTGCTGTGAAGACAAAACAGGAAGGGGAATGGAGGACAAAGACTGAAATTCCCACATTGCTCACCCTAAAGATATACTACATAGAAATCAGAAAAGTTGCAATTAAAAATATGGTTTAGCAGTTACAAATATTTGTTTATATTGTCCCTATACAAACACATTCCCACTACTTTAGATGCTCATCAGACACAATAAGTCCTGCTAAAATTTACAGACCTATCTATGAGCAGCTTCTGCAGACAGGTGTTGATAAGGTTTGCCACCAGGGGGCAGTTGTCTCGACGCACAGTCTCAATGCCCTTGCAGTCCATCTTGTCATGCATGTCAGGGTTGGAGGAAAAGTACAGGCCAGCATAGCGCTTCTTATTGATCAGGAGGTATGGAAAATATACCTGGTAGAGAAAACATCATGCCTTTGTATAATTCCCAAAACCAGATTCCACTGCAGAAGATCAATCCAACTATTTAATTTGACTAGGATTTCAGGAACTGAAGAAATAACTGTCTGGTTTGAGAAGAAATGCACCACTTAGTTTATGGAGTGGACAAAATCTTTAGCATATTCATGAAGATGGCACCTTACCTAAAGACTGAAAGAATGGAAATCAATGAAAAGATATTGAAAGTGAATGCAGAAACCATAGAGGAATTAGTCAGTTAAGTAGATTTGGTAGTATTCCAAGTGAAAGGGAATATGAAGTGACAAGAAGTAAAATTTAGGAAATGCAATAAGGCTGGACAAAGGGTACAAAGATTCCACTTTGCTTTGAGAAATTTATCTATGCAAACAGGACAGGTACAGACACCAATGGATGGTCAAGAGTGCAGAAAGAATAATTGCAATGAATTTACCTTCCGTAGAAATATCTCCTCTATGTTGCAGAGGTCAAAAGGAGGGCTGAGAAGATATCTGCAGACCCCTCACATCCTGAACTATTTTAACTCCTTCCCTCAGGATAGTGCTATAGGGCATCATATTGGTAATTTTAACTAAAGCTTCTGAACATTTATTGTCATTCTACATCTCCTCAGTATCACTATGTTCTATCTTCATTATCTGCCTCTTACAAAATAATGCCCTGCTGGGTTGCGGTCCCCTACGCAATTTTGGCAGGTGTCAAAAAGTTAAACACGATCAAATGAAAGTCTACTAGGAAATTCTAGGACTTTAGGCTGGATTACAAAATTGGGGGAAAAAATCTTCTGGATGAGGGCAATGGCCAAGAAAATTACCCAGACTTATGAAGTTGCCTAGAAATGGATTCAATAACAAGAGTTTACTTTTTATAAACTTCTTATTGGTGGAAGTTTCCATGAACAGATGTTGTTCAAAGGTGTATGAAATTTAATTCTAGAACTGCAGCTTGGATATACCTGAAAGGACCACCCTGGAAAACAGTTTGACAATCTTGTGTCAAGTACATTCAAACCTATTCAATTTCATCAAACGTACCTTCTCAAACTCCAATTTGATGGGTGGAGTGAAATGGCTAGAGACCCAGGCTGCTGCTTCCCTGCCTATTTCCATGGATTCAGCAACTGATTCCACACCCAGACGGCACATCACTGAATCTGTGTCCCCGTATATAACCTTCAAGGAAAGAATAAAATATTCAAGAACTCTTGTCCTTCTTTATCTTGGAGCACTTCAGTCACTCCAAAGAGCTACTAGATTCCTTTGTCAAAAGACATAACATACCACCATTCTTCTTTTTGACAGTTCTGTCTCTCTCCCGTTCCCTATAGTGAGAAGATGCAATTCCCTCCAATGCTTAATCTCATCCTTGAAGTCATTGTAAATATGATTACATTGTATCATCCCTTTGAAGTAGACCAGGCAAGAAGCATAAGCCATGAACACCAAAATTATGTTTATTTTAAGGTTACTGTGACAGAATCATGCAATTCCAAAAACATTTCTCCAGCCTTTATTTTTATTTGCCAGTAGATTAGGGAGGGTCCCTTCTAAAATGCTTCTCACACCCCCATTGTCTTTGTGGGCTAAGATACCTTTTGCATAACGGTTGTCTAGTCTGTGGCTCTTCTTCCTGTCACTCAAAGTAATTCCCACATACCATTACATGTTGCCAAAGAAATGTGAAAAGAATGAGAACAAGATTTTAAAGGATGACAAGGCAAGTTTTATGCTAACCAAAATTGGAATATAGCAAATGCTTTCTCCTCTAAGGCAAGCATTGGTAACCTTAGCTCTAGGGACAGAAGTGGACTTGAATTTCATATGACTTTTGCTTAATTTCAAATATTTCAAATTCATTTCTGCACAAGCAAAATGCCAAGACCTAGTGACCTGCCCTTCAGCTTGATAGAAGGTGTTAACAATTTTAAAGAAAAGACCTGGTATCTAATTTTAGTTCTGGCACTGTAACCATTAACCTACACAACCCAATTGATCTATTCCTTTAAAAAAAAGAAAAAAGCTGTATACTGCTATTCTACAAAGTACACTGCCTTTTCAGTTTTCCTGTCCATCTACTACTATACTGAAATATAAGTTTGCCCTTCTCTTGCTCACCTTTGCATCAGCCTTATATCCATTGGCAATAGTGTACTTGGATTCTACCAATTGCTTTGTTTTCTCAATCATCTGACGCCCAAATCCAGTTACACTCTGAGAAGGAATAGGTAGCAAGCATTATTTTTGTCTTTCAGGAGACAAAGAAAAAGATTTAGTTGCAGTAACTTTAAATTTCAATGTCCCGCATTCAATTGATGGCTTTCTCTGTTACCGTCTCTATCAAAAATTATATCTGATATTAGCATCTTTGCCAAACATTAAGAACTTAGGACTTCCTTAATTTACTAGAAGAAATAATTTGTCTTTGAAAAAAATATTTTCTACTTTCTCTCTCAGGTTATATATTTTATAAACATATTTTGATACAAACTGTATTCCTTTATAGTAGACAATACTAAATAAGCTTCCCCCAAAAATCCAGAAGTCCAGGAGAACTTTTTAGCATTAAGTACCCAGGCAAGAGTATTTATTGTACATAATTTATGTAAAAAGAATCAAGGATTATTTCTAACTAACAACTAGAAGGCCTTCAACTTATCACAAGTACAGCATTTGGTTTACAAAATATGCTTTCATTTTTTCTTTTAATTAAATCAGCAGGAGGAAGATATTTTTGCAACGGAGAGGCAGTTTTTTGACTCTGACCCAGTAAGTTGGTTCTTATCACTTCCTCTAATAGGAAATCTAGTTGGTGAGTAGCAACTGGGCTGTTAATATTATCTTGTTTAGAGGAATTCCAGTGCTTGCAAAAGAGAATCTAAACTGAGAAAAAACTGAGCAATCAGTAGGACTCTGGGAAAAAATGCCAATGCTTCAAGAATTGCATTAATTAATAGATTCTTCAAAGCAGCAACATCTTTTCTGTTTTTAGATTCATTTGGAAATCAGGAAAAACCAGGCTTCAATTAGACAAACAGCAGAGAGGTGCTGTGCTTGCATTTAGTATAAAGCACTTCCTCTGAATCATTTTCTAAATGTGCTCCTCCCTAACAGTCAAGTGTTTTTTAAGAAAATGTTTACAATTTTAAAAGTGCATATATCTTATGCATGTTCAACAGTACCCAAAAGCCAATAAATCAGAGAACTAAAATCAATCTTTCATTCTCTTACAGTGTATCTAGAAAATAGTGAACCCTGATGTTCGATCTCTTGATATTAAGTTCTCCACCCACTTAGAAAGTCTGCTTAGTTTCCAAGCAAATATCTGCCGGATATCTAACCAAACTTGTAGAATTGTAACTAGAACAATCAAGATGCAAAAGCTGAACATTTTGTTTTCAGGCATAGATAACCCGACACCTTGGCCTATCCCATATAGGTCATGGGCTTCCCCTTGCCTATCTTTTCAGAGAAAGCATATCTATCTACCAGAGTTTTTGTTTAGTTGTCATAGTTAATTGTCACCATACAAATCATCTTCAACACCACTCCTTCCAAATATTGCGCAACTACAGCTACCATCACCCCTTATTTCTGGCCCTGTTGATTGAGGTTTGTGGGAGTTATATTCTAAAATGTCCAAATTAGAAATGGCTATTTTGGATTACCTTGTCCTAGACAGGAATTTGTCTTGTTTTTTTTTAAAAAAAAAATCATTTGATGGCAATTTTGCTTTAGCCCCTCACATGAAATTAAAATATTTTTCTACTTCCTTCTGCTTGCATTAAAGCTTCAGTTGATCAACTATAAAACATTGGCTAGGTTTAAAATTTAAAAATAGTTTTTAATATTGTAGCACAAGCTATTAGAAGGTGAAGGAACAAAAGGGCAAAGACAGAAAACTGTTTTAGTGACAACCACTGTATTTTACACACTATAAGACACTCCGAACTATAAGACGCACCTAACGTTTGGGAAGGAAAACAAGAAAAAAAAATCCCTCTATTTCTAAGCAATTTTCTTCTTTGCAGCAAAAAGCAAACAGCCTGGTCAGCTTCAGAACAACCTGATTTAGTATGAGCAGCTGATTGGTGGTTTGATCGGCCTCCTGGAATACAGCCTATCAGCTGTTCCAGGTTGCAGAGATTGCCACTATCTATTGTCACTACCACCTATCGCCGCCTCGGCACATCCCATTTTTGGCCTCCATGTGTCCCATTTTTGGCCTCTGCACATCCCATTTTCAGCCCATTCCAGGTGGCGAGGATAGGTGGCGGCAGTGATCCCTGCTGCCTGGAACAGGCCGAAAACAGGACGTGCAAGCCAAAAATGGGGTGCGGAGAGGCGGCAACAATCCCTGCAGTCTGGAACAGCTGATAGGAGGTATACCGGGAGGTAGATCCAACCGCCAATCAGCTGCTCATGCTAAAACAGGCTGTGATGAAGCTGACCAGGGTGTTTGCTGCAAGGAGGTAAATTTCTACGGGGCAGAGGCCGAAGGGCGGGGGCCAGCAGGTGGGCAGGGCTTTGGCAACATTTGCTGTATAAGACACAGACATTTCTACCCACTTTTTTTTTTGGGGGGGGGGGGTTATACACTGAAAAATACAGTAATGTGGAATCAGTTTTAATGACAACTAACAGCAAATACTTTATTGAAACATGGCAGTGCCTCAATAAGAGACACCTAACAATGGCTTCCAGCATTCACAAACATATCTTGTGGAATTCCCTAGCTTTGAAAAAGGTCAGGCTTACCTGTGATATTTCAAGGCACGGTAGTTTGCCTACTTGGGCCCCAGTGAATCCATAAACAGAATTGGCGCTGACCTTGAGAGCCAACTGCCGTCCATCCAGGACCTGTCGCTTAAATGGGTCAGTCTCCTGCTTCAATTCTAGTTTGGCCCTTAGCCAAAGAGGGAACAGAATGAGGTAAAACCACCAGTTCTTCTTTACTAGCTTCCCTTAACAGCTCAATCTGTATTCAGAAATATCTATGGATTCAGGCTCCTGCCAATGACTGTCTTCATATAAAACATACTGTAATCCAAGCCAATAAATTTCCACTCTGACCAGAATAGCTATCCAGTATGTCCCTACTCACTTACTGCCCTGCAATTTCTTAATTGGAGATAGCAAGACAGAACAAGAGCTATTAATATGTTATATTCAAGTATTCAATTTCTGTTCCTATATTCTACATGTAAATTATGACATATATTCCCATATTTCTCCCTTTTCACCTCTTACGAGCAGCCAGCAAGTTTTCCAAAATCTCAGGCAGAAGACCTTTACGAACGGATGACTTCACAAAATGGTCCCCTGTAGGGGTACGAATGAACTGCTCTGGGGAAAGCCTAATAAAACAGGAAACAATCAGTCAGATCACAAATAGTCTAGAAGGCCAGACTGCTAGTTTAGATGTTACCATCTCAGTTTAAATTATATTTTGCCTCAATAATATACCATAGCCATCTCCCCTCCCTAGTCAGGTTTCCTGCTTCAAATCCCTTAAGTCCATCTACAATAAAAATGTTATTGGAGAAGATCTGGGATATCAGGACTCTGGATTTTGATAAAGCAAACTTGCAAATGATGAGGCTTACAACCAATCAGCTAGGTTTTTGAGGAAATAATTGTGTCAAGCAACATGAAGCATCAAGAAACCATTCTTGTCCCTCCAACTCCATAAAATGTGGACTAGTAGATTTTATCATTTATGACTTCCTCCCATTCAATTCTTCAGGTAACTGAGTAAGAAGTTAGCAAGATACCAGTCCTTCTTCACTCACCCATAGCACTCAACTGCCCCCTGTTGTAAAAGAGTAGTATAGCACAGATTGTGAGCCATCATGATTGAAGGGTACAATGAGGAGAAGTCCAAGGTTGATATTGGCACATCATAATAGCTAAAAGAGAAATATATTTTTAAAAAATGTATATCCCCCCCCCCCCATATACAAGGAGAAAGGGAGAGAATTATCTATCTCTGTCTGTCTAATTTTATGTAATCTAATCTCTCACTCATCTCTTTATCCTCCTCCACTTCCTCCTTGCCAATGGCATTTTCCAAAGATCTTAGGACTACAAGTCCCAGAAATCTCAGCAAATATGCCTTTAATTGCAGTCCCAATGAATCTGCCAAGCTGGGTAAGACAGGACTGGGTAAGACAAAATGCTGTTCTGTGCTATCCCTCCAGAAAATCATTTCATCCTTCTTCTACCTTTCATCAAGGAAAGAGTCTGGCATTCAAGTCAATTTCATGGGATCTCCTTCTCAAATTAGACCCTACTTCTCCATTGCCCAAAGCTGAAATAGCCTGGGACCCAACTCATTGTTCCTCACCATGGTCCTCTTTTCCATTTCCACTCCACATTTCTAAAGCCAAGATTTATATATGGAAGAAAAGGTCAATAACTAGATTCATATATTATGTTATTATGACTTGCCTTAATATGGCCTGAACCTAGTTTACACATATTTTCAAAGCACCACGGTCATGCCTCTCACTGAACCAAACCAAGCAAAAAGCGCCCTCCTTTAGGACTCATGAAGTTTGCTTATGCATTTCTGCAACATCTCTCAACCAGAGTACACAATACACACACCAATACATTCCTTCCCACCCTCACATCCATTAATGTAAGAAAATTCTCATTTCCCTAATTCCTGGACTTACAAAACTTACCCTTTCAGAGGTTCAATGACAGTTGCACCTGCATAGTCCTCCCCACCTTCTGTCTTCACCACTGGCATCACCAGATTCTGCTTCATAGCCTTTGAACAGAGGAAAATATCAGCACTGGAGCAACTCTTTATCATTCTGCTGTTAGGTGGGACTTCTTCCATTAAATCCTATTGTAAGTCTACTGACCATGCTTCTTTTTTGATCCATTATATTTTTAATACATCTGGCAAAAAATACCGGTAAATTCAATTCCCTAAACCCTCTACCCATCCCCTCCCCATAGGTTGGGGAGGAGTAAATTTTCAACTATTAAAACTGTCCCATTTACTCACTGCCTTATAATTTGCTACACATTTAATTATTACTGATGAATCGTGATTTATGCACTATATTTTTTCACTTTTTTCATATTGTCAGTTTCCATATATTCAGGATAATATTCCTTGTGTAGTTAGAGATAGCAAGAAATAAAATGCAGCATAACACTAAAAGTTTTTTTAAAACCATCTTACAATCCAAACCTATATCCGAACAATTACAATTGTCAGGTTCACAAATTAAACCATGATGTTTTAATTATGCTTTGTTGAACCACTTATGGCTGGCTTGGCTTATGGAATATTCTAAGCCTAAATGGTAATAGCTTGAGCAAAATGGCTGGATGGCATCATAAGCTGAAACTGAACAAATCACATGGATTCTAAACCCAGAAAGCCATGAAGAACAACTGAAAAGAAGATACATTTTGCAGAAGTTTTATCTAAAGCCACTGAGAGTCTGTTCATGACTGTAGCAAGGCGTACATATGATTGATAAGAAAACCAACATGGTGGTTCATATGATGACAAGAGGGTCCAGGTTTGGGTCTTCAATCAGTCACACAGCTTACTAATGAATTATCCATTAGCCCATCCCTTTTTAAAGAAGTTGTTCGGATTAGAGATGAGATAGTGGGAGAATGTATGCTACCATGAGTTCTCTGGAGTAAGGGTGAGATAAAATAGTAATTAATAATAGTAGTAAAGTAATAAAAACTGGACCATATATCGATATTGCACTTGCGCTTTTAACTCTTCAGTTGTGAATTAAATTTTATAAGGTCCTTCTCAGGAGGAAATACTATTTTACAACAGTTCCATGTGTACAGAACTAAATAGATATAAACTTGCTACTGGATAAACGTGGGGCTAGCTGGGAGGTAACCCAGGGACTCTCGCCATCTCTATGTAATTAGCGATACACATCGAGGTTTCTCAAAAGTCACAGTGGCAGGTAAGCATCTTTGAGACAGTGAATAGCTATACTCTATACTTCTTTGCACACATTGCATAGTAAATATCTTCTCAAGATTTGAGCTTCTGATCCCCCCCCCCCCCGTGCTCATGATCTCCTGGCTTTGTTGGCAAAAGATCAGTTTTTCCTTACCTGCCGCAGAAGTTGGGACACCACTTTGATTTGTTGTCCACGGGCTAGGAGATAACTAAGAGGTACCCCAGTGACTCTAGCCATCTCCATGTAATTGATAACACACATGAGCTTCCCCAAAAGCCGCAGTGGCAGATAGGCATCCTTGAGGCAGTACACAGCCAGTCGCCGACGTGATTGATCTGAACCATTCTGCAAGGGGAAGTCAAAGGTGGTCAGGAGGAAGACAAGGAGATATGATTTCAGCTCTGGACAAATAAATACAAAAATGATTAAACTCATCCAGTTGGTTTCTTTTTAAATAACAAAAACATTCATTTCTGGGAGTGGGTGGGAACAGGAGACAAGAAATATATGCATGTGTGTGTCTTAAGTATCAAAGCTGGCCAAATTTATAGGAAAACAGGAAAACTCCATTTAGCAATGGAAGCACTGTCTGTGTAGAGCAATGGAAGCAAAGTGGTAGAGACACAAAGTTGATATGGGAATGGAGAAGTGTGGTATAGTCCTCTGACTGTTGGTTTTATGGGTCAGCTGAGATCCTGCTCAGGGAACACTCATCCCCACTCTTTTCAGACATAGAAGAAACAACTTTTGATAGTTCCATTAGCTGCTCAAGCATAACTTGTTGAAGTTCAACTCAAGGCTAACTTCTTCATTCACTGTTAGTTTTTAATATATAAATTTAAATTAAACCAAGATTTTAGAATTGGATAATGGAGGAGGGTGGAATGAGAAAGAATCAATTTATGAAAAGAAGTGAACGAGGTTAAAGAAAATTATGTGCTTTACTCTGGACATATGCACTTCCCCTTTGGCTGACACCCATTTTTCACCTTGTTACGTACACATGCAGCCTTAATAAAAAATGATATAAGAACCTTGACCCAAAAAAGATTGAGCACCCACACTCTACGGCAGGTATGAGGAACTATTGATCTGCCAGGCTGACAACCTCCCACTCCTATCCTGAATGGACTGCCACCTCACATTTCACCTATGTCTCATCACATTTTTCCTTCTCAAAGAGAAAAGGCAAAACATAGGCAAAGCTAGCAGAATCACAGAGGACCGTCACATGTCTAACTTGATCAAGGAAAGATAATTTTACCTGAACTGCCCAAAATATGTCTTCCTCGAGAGGCAACATCAACTATGTGCACCATTTAATTCATTTTCTTTTATGCTCATCAAGAACGGCACAAAATGGCTGTTGGGCTTTTCTAATTCGCCTGACACAGATCCTCTCCTGTGATGAAAGCCTTGTGCTGGCCTTCAAGAACAAGGCCACTTGTGTCCCTTGCTCTCTTTATTGCACAGAGAAATTAAGAACGACAGTCTATTAAATCCTGACATCTGATGTAATTTAGTTCGTATAATACACTGACTTTTCCATCTCAGATCCACAAGATTTAAAGAACTTGTACAAGTCAAGATAACTTTTTTGTATTGTGACCGTACCTTTTATTTTGTTTAATTTTATTATTTGAGGTACAAGGGATTACTGCCAAACATAAAGGGGTTTTTCCTAGTTATCTCTTCTCCTGGAAAGTTTATGGCTGTTTAATAGTTGATTTTGTTTGTTTTTCTCTGGAATTATTGTCTTGTAAAAGCATATTGTATGTTCTAAGGGGGGGAAAACCCTTTCAGAAAGGAGTAAGGAAGCAAAGGATATGCATAAGAATTAACTGTATCAAAAAAGGGCTTTCTAAATCAATGACATGCCAAAAATCAAGAGAGAATGACAAAATCAAGAGAGGAAGATACATGCTATGTAATGTTTAGGTAGTCCTTTCTAATAAGCACTAGAAGAGCACTCACTTTGTTTGCCATGTAAGGCACCAATGTAAGGGAGTCAAGGAGTCAGGGAAGAGAGAGAGAAATATGGGCCCAAAAACAAAAAGGAAAGGAGAGGTGCAGATGCAAGCAGAAGATTGTTCTGTTTCCATACAGTTTTAAATGAGCCCTGCAAAAACCAATATTTGGTTTCCTTGATCTTACAGGAAAAAATATAAACTGCTAAAAAGCGATGGTATTTACGACTCCAAAATGTAAACTACTTTAAATAAGGCTAAGAAAAAGTGAGAAGGAAACACACGAACACTTCAAAAGAAATATCTTTAAGCAGTTATTCCCTAAGGGGTATAGGCTTTAATGACGGAGAGGAGATTCACTAGAGGGACAGCAAATTTAAGAGAGATCTGACAGATAGATTAGATTTTTCATTTCTATGGTACAATGTATCATAGATGACTGGATAGTCACCCAAATCAATTATATGACAGGTAGATGCCAGTGGGATAACAAAACCAATAACAAGTACAAAAGAGTGTTCATGCTAGAGGAAAAAATTACTACTTGCAAGACTTAACTATCAAATGTTACCTGCAGGTCTGTAATAATGGAATGCTGGACATCTTCCTTCTGTTCCTGTAGGAAGTGATAGCTGACAGCGTTCAAGGTGTAGGAGCGTAATTTGTAATCCCTCAATAGAACCTACAGGAAGAAGAAAAGCTAAATTGTGAGACTTCATGTCCCCACAGGCAAAATACTGGGTCTTGTATCTGACAGCCTCCAGTTGTTACTGCCTCTCAGCTTCAATTTCCCATCAGTAAAATGGAACTATGGGGAGGGTGGACTTTTTTTGTTTACCTGAAGTAGATCAATTTGGGCTCTGCCTTCCATGTTAATGACTTTATTCTCCCTCCGTCCCATCTGCTTAGATTGGAAGGACGAATCACGGATGACAGACTTGCGGGATAGAATACGGCCCAGGAAGGGAAATGGGATGACCTGGGGATAAAGAAAAACAAGCTTTGAGACTTGAATGAAGAGTATGGGCGGGGCAAGTTAATTGATAGGTAGGATTACAGTATGGCATTAATTGATTAATTTGTTGAGCATGTTAAAATATGAAAAGAAGCATCCCTGATTCAATTAATAATCCCTTTAGATTGATGATTTTTTTAATACAAATCATTTGAAGAAAACAAAAAGTACCACCAGAAGGAAATGTGCAGGTTACCTTGAGAGTCTGGGCTCTGGTGAGGAGATAAGGAAGATCAAAGTTCTGGATGTTATAGCCGGTGATGATGTCGGGATCTACAGTTCGTATAAATTCTGCCCAAGTCTGGAAAAACATTTATTAATTTTTAGGCCTTTTAGACCAAAGGACATATTTGGATCACAAAGCATGAGAGATGGCCTTACAGAACAGTTGCTACAGGTAGCTCACCTATTCAAAAGAGCATGACCAGTCACATAACATCCATGCATGAAAGTCAACTGGGTAATCTGCAATCTGCTTCTCTGGCAGCAATGACTCAAAGGAGTGCTCTCTACCATCTCAGCTTACCTTTATCTTTTCTTCAAAGCAAACTAGATGTTTCCAAACAAAGCACTGAGCTGCAACCAATCCCCTATTTTATTTTTTTAGAATGCTTAATGAGTCTATGTGGACCTCTCACGCATGCACATAAATAAAGCTGAAACTGGAAGCTGATGCTATGATTTGAAATGTATCAACTTCAGATTCATCAGAAAAATCTGAAACAACTGAAGTCATTTACAAAGACATCAGCCCATTTGGGCCAGAATTATTTATTGTTTAGTTTAGTCTGCAAGAGTTTAAGACGGAGATCTTCCATGATCCTACTATATAAATTCAGGAGAAATACAGCTATTCCATCATCCTCTCCCAAGTACATAAGTGCTTAGATAAGAATGGAAAGAATTTATCTTATGTGAGTAACTACACTGTTCCAGAATGACAATCGCATCAAATAAAGTTTCTTGTATCTTAAAACCAATGGCTTTTTTTAAGCCTTTCGTCTCATGATACTATGTTTGCTCACATTCAACCTTGGATATTTGCATCTTTTTTCAATATAATAAGTCTCATTTTAATGGGCTAGTTGGAGGGAAGGACTGAAAGTCATAAACAAATGTCCATTCAGTTGGGCAGGAGTCACTTGTAATGTAGACATTTATGCAAATAAAATTTCACTTAATGCAGAAAAATTATCTATTACATATGAAATCTATTGCTCCAAGATACAGCAAATCAAAATTTCACGTAATATGATGAATAAACAAACCAACCCAAGGCCAAACAAAAAGAGGGAGGAATGAGTAGAACAAGTAGAAATTACATAACCTATTCTGATGTTTTTCCTCCAGCTGTCTCGGGTATTATTTTCCCTATTTTTTTATGTCAGTTTTAATGCATTCCATATTTTTCACATCTGGAATAATTAATCCTTCTTCTGTTATAGTCTGGCACATAAGAACTTGTCAGGGTAGTAGTTTTAAGATGCCTTGATGTAATGATGGGAATGAGTCAGCAAGGTTTTTAGCTGTTATTCCTTTAAGAGCCTACATAATAAGGCCCTATTAGAGAGAGAGAGAGAGAGAGAGAGAGAGGGAGAGAGAGAGTGTGTGTGTGTGTGTGTTTCTCTTCCCTGCTGTAATTTACTGATTGTTTGACTTCTGCCTATAGTACATGTAGGTACAGTATATATTCTTTGGTAGATAAAATTATTTATTGCAAACCTCTGTTTGCTATTACTGCTCCTAGATTGTCTCATGTAGTAAAGCTGTGAGCACTCTGACAGAACTATCCAGAATGCAGCCGCGCAAGCGATTTTTACATTACACCTATCCTCCATGAGCTGCACTGGCTGCCTATTGGTCTTCGGATACGCTTCAAGGTGCTAGTTGTCACTTATAAAGCCCTTCATGGTATCAGACCTGGGTACTTGAGAGACCGCCTACTGCCAATTACCTCCAATAGACCGATTAGATCCCACAGATTAGGTCTCCTCCGAATTCCATCCACTGGCCAATGCCGTCTGGCGACCACCCGGAGGAGGGCCTTCTCTGTGGCTGCTCTGGCCCT